GGCTGTCGGTGATGCCGTCATGCCGAACAAGAAGAAATACAACGTGAACGGAGATTCGGGGATTAAAGCCCAGGTGAGGGCAGTCTTTAGTACTGCAATATCATTTTTTCTGTAATTATTTTCTATAATTATTTTCTATTATCTATAATTATTTTGTTTTCTATAATTGTTTTCTGTTATTTTCTACATTCGTTTCTCTCTCTCTGCTCCCCTTTTTTCCCTGCCTTTCCTGGCTGTTCCCCCCAAATCACTTATTTCTAGAGCCGGCTGTGTCCCCTGCGTAGAGAAAATCCTGATCTCTGGAGGACTTCTCTTCCTTTTCTCTCAGGAGCAGGAGGTTTGAAACGCTCTAGCGTTGAGCCCAACACGTTGCTCTGAGGTTCTTCGGAGCACCGTGACGGAGGAGTCGGTGGGTTTGCGAGCAGGCAGATTGCCTGGGAAAACTTCGTCCAGCGAGACTTTTTTTGCTCGGTAAAGTCAGGTAGAGCAGCTCGTTGTGGTGGAAACCCCAGGTGGAAGTGAGACTTGGCTCATTTGAGATGTAATGAGCACGTACCTGCATTTAGAACTCATTAACCCCTTGTACCTCGGGACATGAGGTTTTTCAGCTTGAATTGTGTTTTTTTTTCCTTCTGGAGGTTGAAAGCAGCAGTGTTGGTGTAGTTGCAGAGTAGGTTGGACTCCAAAATCCAAGCAGCTGCAGCTCTCAAAGGCTTCACAATCTCTGCTTTGAGCTTTAGCCCGTGCAAAGTTGGCTCTTGCTTTCAGAGACGTTTTGGTTTGCGCTGAACAACTCCAACCTGGAACCAAACCAGCGTTCTCATCCCCGTCTTGAATCATAGAATCATGGTTTGGGTTGGAAGGGACCTTAAAGCCCACCCAGTGCCACCCCCTGCCCTGGGCAGGGACATCTCCCACTAGCCCAGGTTGCCCAAAGCCTCCTCCAGCCTGGCCTTGAACATCTCCGTCCTTCCAGCCGGGCTGGAACACGATGCATCGTGCCGTCGGTTGCCTTCGGTAGGGATTTGTACCAGAGCTTTGGTCTGGGTGAGCAAGGTCTGGTTTTCTCCTTCTGGCTGGATCGAGTGCGTTGCTGAGATTTCAGCTCGAAAAGGAAGACGTGTCATGGAAACTGTCTTGAGGGTATATTCCTGCCAGCACTTTGTGCCCTTCGCATGTCCACATGAGAGAAAAATTTAGCACTAGGCGCTGTCTCAAATAAAACAAATGCCAGCGTCCGTCCATTCCTTCCGACTCTCTGTTGTTCGAAGGATAAAGTCGAAAGATGTTGGGAAGGTGTCAACGCTGGCCAAAAGCAGACCTGAGCCTTCACCTGGAAGATGCCCCATCCCAACGATCTCTTCTTCTGGTGCCTCCTTCCACCCGTCAGCAGTCGGCACCCAGCTCGGCTAAAGCTGGACCCAGCTTGTGGCGGCGTTTAAAGGGTTTAAACCCTCAGAGGGGTTTAGGGCAGGGTTTATGATGAAGTCTAGTTCTACCTGATTTGGTTCATGACTTATTTTGCATTTTGGCGTTTACTTTCCAATCAGTCTTGGATGTAGGAGTACTTGAGAGCTCTGAATGCAATTGTTAATATTCCTTCGTCGCTCAGAGTAGTTGCGTTGAATGTCCTTGAAGAGATGATGTGGGAGAGGAAAATGTCGGCTCTAATAGGAATTATTCCCCCTTTGTTAGCCTCCCAGCATACCTCACTTTGCCGAGAGCATCGTTCCGCACAAACAACCTGGTGCTTTGATGCAGGTGCTCAGCTGTCGAGGGATTTGTTTTCAGTGGAAAAAAAAAAAAGTTATTTTGGGCCAATGACTTATTAGAAAAGGAATAAAAAAAAGGGGGGGGGTGCAAAGGCCCTGTCCCACCGGGATCAGAGGTGTTAATCCCCAACACTACTCTTGACTGTAATATGAGTTTGCCGTGCTTTTTCTCCCCTCCCCTCTGTGTTTCCTGATCCGATGTCGTTCTGTTGTTTGGTTTAAGATTAGCAGGAAAAAAAATCAAAACAGCTTCCAGGTGCTGCTGCAAATCCTCCCCCAGGTCCTTTCAGTCCCCTTGGCCTGGCTGCCCAAGACTTGGGTTCACAGGGGACTTGGAATTAGCCCCCTGAGACCCCCCTCCACCTTTTTCTTTCACGTACTGGCCCAAAAAGCTGAGCCCCAGCCCTGGAGCATCACCAGCCCATCTCATGGGTGACATCAAGTGCCGCTGCTTAAACCACTTACATTTGAGTTCCCGGAGCAGGATCAAATTCCTTCTGGTTAGGTGACTTCTTTAAACCAAACTAACTTCTCAAACTACCCCCAGGGGTTAGTTAATAGACTCAATTAATAGCTTTCAGTAGTTTGAAGATGGAAATATTTAATCCCGTTGCGCCAGATTGGGTTGGTTTATGCCCATAGCGGAGTCCAAGGGAATGTGCAATTTTTCTCATAAATCATGGACGTGTTGGGAACGTCGGTGGTTGGTTTACAAAGCGATGAGCACTGGGGGTTAAAATATTTCCTAAAACTCTAAACCTGTTCTCCGGAATGCTTAAATATGGCCCCGGAGCCACACATGGAGAGAATTAAAAGGGATGTTGAGCCACGGGTTGGGTTTTGAGATGCACCGTGGTGCTGGGGCGAGGCGGGTGGGCTCGGGGCGGTTTTAGCGTCTGTTGGAAGGTGTCCGACGCTCGTGAAGCCCTTTGGGGTCATGAGCAGAAGGTGGGTGCTGATGGGAGTGGAGAAGCATTAGGACAAGTTCAACCCAAGGTGCAAGTTGATGGGACACGGGAGGGTTGAGTTTCTACGGTAAAATAATGAATAATCATCTGTTAAAGCATTTGCCCCATCCCTGGAGGGGTTCAAGGCCAGGCTGGATGGGGCTTTGGGCAACCTGGGCTAGTGGGAGGTGTCCCTGCCCATGGCAGGGGGTTGGAACTCCATGATCTTTAAGGTCCCTTCCAACCCAACCCATTCTGTGATTCTATGATTTATCCCATCTGTCCTCTGCATGCTTTGGAGCAGATCAGTTTTGCTGGCTGAAAATAAATTTTCTCTCTCAGCTTGGCAGTTATCGCAGCCGGAACGCAGGGCAGAGCCTTTGGCTGCTCTCAAACCCACTGGGGGTCTTGGGGCTTCCAGGTGTTCCTGGAGAGTCTGAAATCTTCACTCCTTGGTGGTGATTGAAGTGGGAACAGCTTGATTCTTCATCTCGGGTTCAGCGGGTGGCTGTTTGCCATCCACAGCACTGTGCTGTGGGGAGATGAGCACCATTAAAAAAGAGGGTAGATGCAAAATGCCATAAAATGTTGGTGTTACGCCTCTTCCTGTGGCGTTCCTGCAGGTGGTGCTGGTTCGTGATGGTTGGTTCCTCCTCTCCAACTTGGATTCTGCACATCGCTTCATTTACATGCCTTATCCTTCATTTCTTGGTTTTTTTTGCGTAACCTTGTGTACTCTGGAAGCGGTATTCGTTACTCGAAGTGTTTATACTTTTGCCTTTTGTATTTCATGCAGCAAATGTTGGGTGGCCCTAATGGGGCTTCTCCTGCGACGAATGACCCTTGTCGTCAGCAGTTTGCAAAAATCAGTTTGTGTGTAACGGAGACAGAAGCTTTCTCATTTGTGTGGCTCAAAGAGGAGCTTTAAGGTGTTTGAAAGACGAGTGTGTCAATGCTGCATCTGCTGGAGGGTCTGGAATTAAATGACATTGGCAATTTAGCGTACCCTGTCCCCAATTAAATAAGAATTGCGATTCAGCCTGTCACTGAGATGGTGTCGGCATCTGCTCGAGGCTTTGGCTTCTTGGAATTAATCTTCTGTGTCAGACTGTTGCCTTTTTACATCTGACTTAACTAGTCATTTCTTTCAACAGATCCAGTTTGCTGACCAAAAGCAAGAATTCAACAAGCGCCCAACAAAGATCGGCCGCCGCTCGCTGTCCCGCTCCATCTCGCAGTCCTCGACAGACAGCTACAGCTCAGGTGCGTGCCGGCACTGCACTGATCCTTCCTATTCATTGTCATCATTCAAAATTCAAGATTATTTATCACAGGATCATAGAATCTTAGAATGGTTTGGGTTGGAAGGGACCCTAGAGATCATCTAGTTCCATTGAAATCATGTGAAGTTACGTACAGTTATGCTGCTGTGAGGAGCAGGGAGTTGGACTCAGTGGTCCTTGTGTGTCCCTTACAACTCGAGACGTTCCATGATTCTGTGATCGGCTGCATCCTCTCACAGCATCTCTGCAGAGATGTTTTGTCCCCCATGTCACAGCAGCTCAAGGGTCTCCCAGTTCTGCTGCGTAGTCGGTAACGTTGGAGGGAAGGCATGGAAGGAGCATTGTTGCTTTTTTTTTTTCATGTTCGTGAATAGTTGGATGGAAAATTAAGTCACCTGCTGCTCTTCACGCTTCTGATCTCTCCTTATAACCCCAGTGTGCGGTTGCTGCTGGCTTTCCTCCTCTCTTCGTCCTTCTTTTCCTTCCAAGCTCAGCAAAATGGTGTTTCCATCGCATCCATGCTTGCACGTCATCTTCCCTTCCCGCTCTGGAGTAAATCCGTGTGGATCCCTCTGTAGGTTTGGACTGACCCGTTGCACATGGAGCCTTTGGAAGAGCAGTGCTCACCTTTGCAGGCCACGCACGTGTCTGCTGGGCTTTTCCTGCTGGAGTCGGTGAAATGAAACTCAGCGAGCGGTAGACTTGCTGTTTGGTCTTGCCAGTGGTACCATGGGAACTCCCTGCAGAGGGATGTTGGGTTTATTGGGGTTTTTGGTTTTGTTTTACGTTTCAGAGCTCTTCTGAAGTCCCAGGTATCTTTATGAAGATTGGTTCTGGAAGCTTGATTTGTCTAGACTGGTGTTTGGTGGCTGTGCAGCTCTGTCCAGAACCCTTCAGGCTCTACCTTCCCCCAAACATTGAGCAATCGAACATTTAACAAGTGGCACCTTCATCTAGTTTTACCCTGGTCCAGTAACACCCCTGTGGGACCAGTATCATCCCTCACCTCCAGTGTCCTCTTTCCTTTGTCTCTGAATATGTCGTGAAGTACCGTTACTGTGCTGGAGAGCTTCTGTCACTTCAGGAGCTGGTTGTGAGGATGGTGGCTTTCCAGGAATAGGGAGAGGTCGTCAGGGATGCTCTTGGATTGTTCAGGATCGGTCCATCTGGGATCTTAAGGGGAATACTGCTTTGCTACCTGAAATATTACAGCCAGTGCCCTAGCCAAAAAGATTTTGGATCCAATTCCCCAGCCTTCAAGGAGTCTTAATGCCTCTGATCCCCTCCTGGTCCCGGCCCCTTGAAGAAGATGCAGAAGAAATGAGTTTCCAACGCAAGGCTGCAAGGAGTGAAGATGTCAGCTCCTTGAACCTGGAGGAGGTGTCATTCCTCAGCCCTTTCCGGTGACCGGTACCAAAACTCACCGTGGAGAACCGTCACAAGCTCTCAGATGGATGTTCAGGTTGGTGGCCAAGGTTTGGCTGCAGACCTTGCAGAGCTCCCCCTTTATGCCAGAGCCGTGAGGAATAACGAACATTCACGGTGAGGCTCCACCACCATCCTTCACGTGGTCCCTGTCCATGACATGGAGGTACCTGTCCCATGACACAGATGTACCTGTCTGTGACACAGAAGCATTTTTTGGATCCTTGACAGGTCACTGCATGCTTGAGGAAAATCCTGGACTAGTGGGAGGTGTCCCTGCCCATGACAGGGGGTTGGAACTCGATGATCTTTAAGGTCCCTTCCAACCCAAACCATTCCATGATTCCATGATCCTCCTTCCTATGGAACGAGCAACTGTTCTTTGTCTCCCTTCCTGACTCTTGGGTTGCTTCTTTCATTCTCCCTTGCACACTTGGAGGAACCTCCAGAACCTCCTCTAGAGGCTTGGAGGAGCCCCGCAAGGCTGAGGACAACCTGGGTGACCCATCACCCTGCAGCGGCTGCGCTCCCACACGAAGGGCTGTTAGGAGAAATCGAGGAACAGCGCACACCGTGTTGTTTCCAGAGGGACATCAGCCCGGGCTCCGCTTGCACTTTGTAAGCCACCTGCATGATGCTGTAACGTTATCATCTTTGGTGGCGTGTTCTAAGCTGACATTGATGATAGACTTCTCTAATACTGGTCTGTGATTAATAGAACGTCTGTTATGGGTTCTACAGCTCCATCCGGTGTCTCATCAGCAGGGCGTGTTTTCTGACTGTCGTTTTTAAAGACTAACGGGCTGATGAGCCTGGCTAATGGCATCGCGTTTGCTCCCCGTTCATGGCTGAAAGAACTTGGAGCAACTTTGGGGAATTCTCCTCTGCCCCTCGCACTTAGCATCTCCTGCTAAAGCATCAGCAATTGCAATTAATTAGCTCGTGAAAAGTATTATATTTCCCTCCTAATGAAAGCTTCCAGGCTGATAGTCAAGATGGAAGACTTCTGATCTCAGTATGGTTGCAGGGTGGGGAGATGAATCCCATTAGTACCTGGCGACGTGGATCTTTGTCTTTCTCCTTTTAGGACTGAGCACGTCTAAAAATCTTGAGTTCAATGAGTCTAAAGAACCCATTCAGCCCTTCTGGGATGGGAAAAGGCTGGAAAAGAAGCAGCATGAGGAGCAGAGAGATGATAATGGAGGGGAGAATCATGGAATCTCTACAACTACCTAAAAGGAGGTTGTAGCAAGGTGGGTGCTGGCCTCTTCTCTAAAGTAACAAGTGATGGGACAAAAGGAAACGGCCTCAGGTTGCACCAGGGGAGGTTTAGGCTGGAGATTAGAAAAAATTTCTTCACTGCAAGAGTGCTCAGGCATTGGAACAGGCTGCCCAGGGCAGTGGTGGAGTCACCATCCCTGGAGGGGGTCAAGGAACGTGTGGATGTGGTGCTTGGGGACATGGGTCAGTGGTTGGGGTGATGGTTGGACTTGATGATCCTTGAGGTCTTTTCCAACCTTCATGATTCTATGATTCTATAATTATATGATTCTATGGAATCATTTAGGTTGGAAAAGTCCTTCAAGATCATCGAGTCCAACCGTAAACCCAACCCTGCCAACTCCTCCACTAAACCATGTCCCCAGGCGCTGCATCTACACGTCTTTTAAATCCCTCCAGGGATGGTGACTCCACCACTAACCTGGGCAGCCTGTTCCAGCACTTGACAACCCTTTTGGTGAAGGAGTTTTTCCGAATATCCATCTAAACCTCCCCTGGGGCAACTTGAGGCCATTTCCTCTCATCACTTGTTACCTGGGAGAAGAGACCAACCCCCACCTCACTGCACCCTCCTTTCAGGCAGTTGCAGAGAGCGATGGGGTCTCCCCTCATCCTCCTTTTCTCCAGACTGAACACCGCAGCTCCCTTGGCTGCTCCTCGTCGGATTTGTTCTCCAGACCCTTCAACCACTTTGTTGCCCTTCTCTAAACACACAAGAGGTGTGTGGAGGTCCCGAGGTTTGGAGATGGTGGGCGTGAGTGATCAAAGTTTGATCAAAATCATCAGCCGGTCTCCAAAATATGTACAATCTGCAAAGCTGTGATGTGAGCAGCGTACTCCACGATGCAATGTGTGGCTGACTGGGCTTTGCTGGAAGCAATCATGGGAAAAACGAGGGTGGTGAGGCGGTGGGACAGGTCGCCCCATCTCTGGAAACATTCAAGGTCAGGCTGGATGGGGCTCTGAGCAACCTGATCTGGTAGAAGGTGTCCCTGCTCATGGCAGAGGGGGTAGAGTAGATGGTCTTCAAAGGTCCCTTCCACCCCAAACCATTCCGTGATTCTACAAAAAACCAGGAGAGACACTGCTGAACACAAAAACTTTATCACGTGGTTGCTGTGAAGCACAAAGAATGACAATCCCAATGGTCCAGGTAGATCATAGAATCACAGGATGGTTTGGGTTGGAAGGGACCTTAAAGATCATCAAGTTCCAAGCCCAGCCATGGGCAGGGACACCTCCCACCAGCCCAGGTTGCTGATCTGACTCTTCAAAGTTAAAGTCTCTTATCCGTATTTGCTATAAGTCACCTGTTTTCTGTAGTTGTTCCACTTCATTTAAACCATGTAATTTTTCTCACCGGGGAAATGAATTCTTTTCTGCACTGTTTGGAGTGGTTCATGCGCCCAAGGACGCACCGTGGCGTTTAACAGCATCTGCTATTGCAAAGCAGGGAAAGGCACCGACCCCAGAGCTCGGCTTTGGGGCCCAGGGGATGTTTTGGCGTTGTGCTGGGTGAATCACTGAAATTTCGATAATTGTTCTTTCCCTTTCTGCCAAACTCCCATCATTGTTATCTCCTTGAACCAAGATTTTGGGGATCAGCTGGTTTATATCAGCCCAGCGCTTTGGATACTAAAGCACTCAGCACCGTGTGTTACGCACCGTGTAGACGTTTTGCGGGTGCTGGAATGAGATTAGAACAGTAAAATCTTTAATTAAAGGCGATTGACTTCATCCTCGTGCCGTTTCATAACTTTCAAAAGGTTGTGCAGAAAAGAAACAAGGTTTGTCTTTTTGTCGGGCTCGAACAGGGGCAGGCTGTCCCTCTCTTGCCGTTACTGGTGCCACTATTACAGGTGTGAGCGGATCCTCATCTAAAATATCAGCGGAGCTGAATTTTCCTGGATTTGGCCTCTGACCTGGTCTTTGCTGGGTGGGAACATGGGCTGCAGGTATCTCCTTTCCCTGCAACGTTTTTGTTCTCTTTCAAGTAATACCATTTGTATTAAAATGGCACGTGGCTCTGTGGAATGCCAACCCCAGGTACCAAGCTTTCATTCATCAGCTTTTGGGTGATTGGAGATGATATTTAGGACACTGTCTTTCCCATCAGTTAATTGGATATTTCCAGATGACAGGTGCTAGGAATCTTTTCCTTTCTCTACTTGTTTTTCATGTTACAGGAAAGCAAGGGAAATATTTAATGTTATTTATTAGTATGGATTGTACCGCACTGACAATATTAATTAAATTTCCATAGCACTATATGCACTCTTATACGTATGTAGCAGTAAAGAACCATCTGCATATGAAAACCTGCCTACCATCTAGGTGGATTTTTTTGTTTAAAAAAACTTAATTTCAGCCCCCAGAACCAAGACCTATGGTTTTAAAGAAACCTCTGCCCCGATTAGCTGTCTTCAAGGAAATAATCCTCTTCGAACTAATTAATCCTCCTGCAGTCCTTGATATCCAAGAGCTTGGTATTATATAAGGTGCTCTTTTTGTTATTAAGCCGTGCTCCCAGTCCTTCAAATTCACAAATTCAGAAGTATCTTGCCGTCAGCGTGTTGTCTGCAGGGTTGGACTTGCCTTTCGCACCCCGCGGAGGATGGAGCCTGTGCAGAGAAATTCCAGCAATGCGATAATTCTCCTCCGTAAGCGGATTAAGACCCGAGCGGGTCTTGGGGAGCCTGGCACGCCGACAGTGGCGGCGCTAAGCTTTTTTTCCTTGGGATCATTCCAGTGCTTCACACGAGCCAGAGGAGAATGTAATCAGCTTGCTGGGTGCCACAGGAGAGACAAACCGGCGGCCGTGCTGGGGGGGAGAAGGGTTTAGTGCCTTGGTTTTGGGTTTTCTGGTGTGAAAATGCTGCCAGAGCCACTGAACTGTGGGTTGAGGGCTGGTTTGCCCTTACTCCAAGTTCTCTGAAAGGGGGTCTTGGAATGAATCTTTGCTTGAGCTCTGGATGCCTCTGGAAAGCTGCAGCTCGCTGGGGGCACTGGTGGGTGGTGATGACCCATGGTGACCCAACCACGCTGTCCTTCCTGTGACACTGCGTACGAAGCGCTTACCCTTTGTGCTGCCAGATTAATTCCTTTGGCACAGAATTGGGGTAGAAGGTTGGGAATCGGTTGTGACTGTTGGGTAGAACAGCTCCCTTGGGTGTTTGGGGTAGATCGTTCCCTCCTGGAGGCTGTGCCTGGGAGAGAAGGTAGCTCGTGCACAGCAACACATCCTCCACAGCCAGTAGCTGCTGAATTTGACGTTTAGAATCACAGAATGGTTTGGGTTGGAAGGGACCCTAAAGCCCACCCAGTGCCACCCCCTGCCATGGGCAGGGACACCTCCCACTAGCCCAGGTTGCCCAAAGCCTCATCCAGCCTGGCCTTGAACCCCTCCAGGGATGGGGCATCCACAGCTTCTCTGGGCACCCTGGGCCACTGCCTCACCCCCTGCACAGGAAAACATTTCTTCCCAAGATCTCACCTCCATCTCCCCTCTTCCAGCTCAAACCCGTTCCCCTGGTCCTGTCCCTGCACCCCCTGATCCAGAGCCCCCCCAGCTCTCCTGTAGCCCCCTTTCAGCACTGGAAGGTGCTGGAAGGTCTCCCCGGAGCCTTCTCTTCTCCAGGCTGCACACCCCCAGCTCTCTCAGGTCGCCTCCCCGCCTTGCCCACTCAGAGCAGGATGTTTCCAGCACAGCAGCAGGTGAGCCGTGTCTCTCTCTGACCAATTCTCAAGTCCTCCAAGGATGGAGAACCACCACCTCTTTGGGCAACCAGTGCCATTGTTGCATTATCTTCTTGATGAAGAAGTTCCTTCGTCCCATCACATGTGAGCCTCCCAAGCAGCAACTTGTGGCCATTGCCCTTATTGAGGAACATTGGAATTGAGCAAATCCAAGGACTGGGAATACCACCGTCGCTGAGTAATACAGAATGAGTGGGCTCCACCATACCATTGTTTAAAATTAAATACAGTTTTATATCTGTCCTGTTTTAAATTACAACTCTTAATGTTTTGGAAGAACTCAAAGCATTAATGGGCATTTTTGTTGGCCGTTGTAGAGCTGGAAGGGCTTAATTTTGGGAAGAGGTATGGGAGAAAGCCACAGAGGAGCTGCAAAGCATGAGGAGATGAGCCCGTGAGGTTGCAGTCGAGGTAGATGAGAGCGAGGAGGTCGCTGCAGGGAGAAGCTGACCGTGGGGAAATGGTCATTGTAAGGGGACAGGGAGATCCCAGCTGGGGACAGGAGGAGTTGGCACGTGCACGAGGAGAAGCACCTCCATGGACACGTTCAGCAGATGATCTGCGCCCTTCCACTGCAGGTGGGTTGGCTTTAGGGATTATTTTTTTCTCTTCTTCTGACTTCATTTTTTTCTTCCAGCTGCCTCCTACACAGACAGCTCTGACGATGAGACCTCTCCCCGAGACAAGCAGCAGAAGAACAGCAAAAACAGCACCGATTTCTGCGTGAAAAACATCAAGCAGGCGGACTTTGGGCGCCGAGAGATTGAAATTGCTGAACAAGGTAAACGGGGCACATTCCTCAAGCTCTGCGCGAGAGATTGAAATTGCTGAACAAGGTAAATGGGGCACATTTCTCAAGCTCTGCATTGTCTTGTGGGGTTCTTCCGTCCCCCAAATCCTCTTTTTGTGAGGTTCATTATATTGGTGATGTCTTGACACAGTTCCTGTTGGAAACGGGAGAACTTCAGTGGGATTTTGTGCGATGGAAAGGAGTTACGTTATGACTTGTAGCTCCAACCAACCACCTACTCTATGGTCAAATACATTTTGTTAAAATCAGTAGAAGAGATTAAATGCATCAAATAAATGAGACAGTTTTGTTTTAGCATGTTTGTCTCCAAAAATCCATAGCAAAGGCAACGCAGTGTTTTGGTGGTTGGAGGGATATTGGAGAGACCGGTGAGACCAGCAAGTCCCAAGTTCTCTCCAGTCTGAAGGAGATTTTCCTTCAGCCTCACCTGGACATTCACAGGGAGAAATTTGAAAATGTGATGATGCCACATCCTAAATAGTAGGGGGAAAAAAAAAACCCAAACAGAGGAGTTTTATTTTTATTTTTTATTATTTTTTTTTATTATTGGGTCCTGTTCAGCTATACCATGACTTACTTGATACTCGCTCTCAGCCTCTATCTTTTTTCGAAGCTGTACAAATTCGTTGGGAGTACCAGATAGCAGGGCAAGAAGTGACGCTGGGCTGTTCCTTATATGCTCGTCCCTTTTTCCATCGCATTGATGGACTTTTTTTTTTTTTTAAATTTTTGCCTTTCAGAAATGCCTGCGCTGATGGCTTTGAGGAAGAGAGCTCAGGGAGAGAAGCCGCTGGCTGGGGCCAAGATCGTGGGCTGCACGCACATCACAGCACAGACCGCTGTAAGACCCCATCATCCATAGACTCTAGATGGGGATTTTCTCACTGCTTAGCCTCTAAACTAGATCCCGAGCGGTTAATATAGCGATGGAGCCTCTGGGTCCGGCACCTTACACCAACTAAAAAGGGAATGGTCGATTTTGTGAACATTTCTAGGTAAAGAGAGCCTGTGCTTCAAGGCAGTGTAACGCACATATCTATAGAGCATTCCTTGAGTAGTGATAACTACGGAGATGGAATTATCTGTGTCGTATAAGCAGGAAGAAGTGGTGGTGAGTGATCAGGGCAGTTACACAAATCAAGACCTGTGGTTTCTCCTCCAAAAATGGGGCAAAAGTGCCTTCTCCTGATTAGATTTGGGACTTCGCTGAGTAAAATCTGCATATGTATGTATATTTATATGCACCCCCACACATATATATGCTGCGTATGGAATATACTTTGAAGTTCTTATTTACTTCATCCATTTTAAATTGTAAAAAAAAAAAAATCGCAAAAATTTTGCAACTCTCTAATGACCCTGACACTGTTTAAAACCAACTTCAGATACCCTCCAGAAGCTTTCCTGTAAATAGCAAATAAAGATCCCAGTTGTGTATTGCTCTTTGCATTGCATATTGCTCCATGCATTGCTCTTTCTGATTTTTTTTAAATTTAAATCCAGGTGCTAATGGAGACTCTTGGTGCGCTGGGTGCTCAGTGCCGATGGGCTGCGTGCAACATCTACTCTACTCTTAACGAAGTGGCTGCTGCCCTTGCGGAGAGCGGTAGGAAACTTCACCCTCTTTGTTCTTTCTGGTTTTAACAAGATTTCTTACTGCCCCATCATATTTAGCTCGTTTACTGTCTCTTACGGAGAAAAAAATCCTTTGCTCTCTTCAATTTAAAATAAACCTATAGGAGGTAAACAGCACAAGATCAATCCCTGCTGTTGGTCAGGAAAACTTAGAATGATTTTTCTCTGGATTATAAAATATCTAGGATAAATTATGGTGATGCACATTATTAGCTGAATGGGTTACATGAACCTGGGAGTTATTTTGCTAAGAGAAGCAAAGCTAAATTTAAGTTCAGTTCTATAAATTTGAGTCGTAACTTTGGCTAAAAGGAGAGAACTTTTGGGGGACATAATTCACAAAACAGAAGCTGTCCATGTTGCTGCTCACCTGGGAGAAGCCTTAATTTAAATCCTGTTTTACCTGGGTAAGACCAGGGATACTGTGAGAGCTGAGAGACCCAGAAGAAGCTAAAACCCCCGGTTCTCTCTCTTGCTCTGGGTTGTCTCCCTCTGGGTCGCCCCTCTCTCAGGGTCATCTTGGTCTCTCAGACACTCGGGCTCTTATCTCCCTCCATTCTGGGATTGTGGTTTTGGGACTCTCCCTGCTCCAGGATTATTAGTTGGGAGCGGGCTGAGCCTTGGCCATCAGGTGGTGA